GGCTTTACTTCTTATACTTCGTTTTTATACTTTTCTGCTGGATGGTTAGATCAAGATAAAGCAAGACCTGTGCAACAAGAGTTGTAGCTTTTTGATCTGCTAAGGTCAGTCAAATCCTCTCAGGATTTATCCTGAGATCCTGTACCTCAGATTGTAGCTCCTTTGTCGGTGTCAGCCATGTGGATGAGTCACGGCCATTGCTTGGCCAATGTGCTTTCTGTGAAAGCCTGAGAGAATGTTTTCTCTCCATGTGACTCTCCTTAGGCACACTCGACATCATTGATCACTTTCCTCTTTGGCCCCATAACCTCCTTGATCAGAAAATTTGGGACACTACTGAGTTACGTGACGTTACAGTACAAGTTTTCATATGTCCTGAGTCTTAATTGGCCTTGGAAGGCTAGGGCCAAAATGTTGGCTTTCCTTGCGGCCCTCCTTTTCCTCTAATTTTGGTCTGCAAACTTAGTTTGTTAACCCTCCAGAAGACAAGCTTATTGCTATTACCATACAACCTAGGCTGTTAAGCTTAACCTCACTATCTGTCTGACTATCAAACATCTTAGGCATAACATGGAACAGGTATTTTTCATCAAGTATTGATGTGTTGAATTTTAAGTCCCTACAGAATATGATGAAAAAAAACATTTTAAAAAATTAAAATATATTTCACAAATAAGCATAAAGAATTATATAATTCTTATGTTTACAGGTAAGTCCAGAAATCTAACCATATACAACCTTGTAGCAGGACAGTCCCACAACATTCCTTTTCCTGTCTCTTTCCTTCCCTTTCCTTTTATAAGGGGCTTCTTTTCTCATCATTTTCATCAGCTTTAACTTACTCTTTTCAACAATTTTTAGTGAGAACTTCAAGCTATATTATTTGCTCTTAGTTTTCTAGGACATTAAGAATAAAAAGTTAGGGCTGGCCAGATAGTTCAGCAGAATAAAGCACCTGCTTAGGCAGAGTGCAGGCACCACAAACGATGTCAGCCCCACTGCCGAGGCAAGCTGAGACAGTGCTTGAGACTAGGCATGGTTGTGTGCACCTGTAACCCCATTGCTTGGGAGGCTGAAAGCAGGAGGATCACTACAAGTCCAATCTACATAGTGAGACCCTGTACACGCCATACTAAAATACATTAAAAAAAAGAATAAAAAGTTAACATGGACTATGATTAGAATAGCATCTGTGGATATGGCCAAACAGAGTCTCCCAGACTGGCACAACATCAAAGATTCAACCCATGATTATAAAGTATCCTCACCTTTGCTCCCATGGCAGAAAATATAACACAACTTCCTATTCAAATGTCACCTTTGGTCCAACATAGGAAGACGGAAGGAAAGGCACTGGGAAGCCAAAGCCTTGCCTCACCTCTATAGAATCACTGTAGGCAAGAAAAACCAACGAACGATCCTTGTGAACAGAAACTCAGCAAGATACCCAAATCACGGGCCAGAAATCTAACAGGTAACATGAAGGGATCTCTTGATTTCTCAGCCTACTAACTGCCCTATTCCCACTTCCAAATCACTCAGAGTGTGTAGCTGCAGGCAGGGTCCCTCTGGGTGGTAAGTGTGCTTACTTTGATAAACGCCTCATATACATTGAGCATGGTGAGGTGATCACCCTCCTCCACAGCAAATTTTCGGTGTACTCGGATCTAGAAAGAATAACATGTCACTTAGAAGCTGATTCCCAGAGCCTGGAAATGACACCACAGAATGAATAGCATTTGGTAGAAATTCAGAAAGGCCTGGTTCATATTATCACGGCTATGCCACATCCTGAGAGTCCTTAGATTGGTTATTACTTGGCCTCAACTTTCTTGTTGGTAAAATCAGGAAATTAAACCTCTTTATTAAGATTGCTATGGGTTGAGACAATTTACTATAAAGTTCTTGGCACAGAAATACCTTCTAGTGTATTTCCATCTTTCTTCCCAGTCCCCAGCACCATGCAGGGGCCAAGGCAGGCATGGTGCATGCTGCCCAGCACATGGTATACACTCTATGTTCTTAGGATACCACTACCTGCACAATCCTCTCAGACCTCATCCTTCAATTCTTTCTGTAAGACCCTGGAATATACTATTTGTTCACATGGATTTAGGGTAACCAAGTATACAAATTTAAGAATTTTACCTTTTAACTAAATGTCACACAATCAATCAAGCTATCTTCCTTCCTTCTTTCATTCCTCTCCTTTCCTCTCATTCAGTAAATTGTTTTTTTAAATGAAGACCCTAATATATATTGAGTACTGTTATGCTCACTTGGAATATGACACTGAGTAAAACACTGGGGGAAGGATAACAAAGATGAGCAAAACATGTAGACTGTCAGATGGTCCACACTAGAAAAGCATAAAACTGGGAATGGACACGGCAAGTAAAAACAGGCTAGAATTTTAGACAAAGGAGAAAGAACTTCAGTTTTCTCCTTTTTTAAAGTTTGAATGCTCCTGTCCTGAGACAGAACCATTAAAAAAGTTAAGCAATGGATGGGCCAGCAAGATAGTTCAGGAGACTAAGAGCCTGCTTATGGGGTTCGGTCCCTGGCACCATATGCCATGCCAGCCTGAGCACGCTGAGCTGACCACAGAGACCGGGCACGGTGGCGCACACCTGTAATCCCAGCACTGGGAAGGCTGAAAACAGAAGGATCACTGCGAGTCCAAGCTGCATAGTGAAACTCTGTACTAAATACATACCAAAAAAAAAAAAAAAAAAGTTAAGCAATAGGGACGAACAAAAAACCTAAGAAATGGTCATACAGGAAAACTCTGTCACAGATGTACAGCTGTTGGCAGGATATCAACATCTGTGAGGCCATCTCCCTTCAACTCATCCCAGGTCACCCTCCCTGTGCCAAGCTACTGCTCTTTGCACACTCCTCCATCAGTATCCTGCCCTTCCTGGACCCTTCAGGACCCTACTTTGTCTTCCACTCTCTCACCTTCACTCTCTCGGTCTGCACCTCTGCCTGTGCCTTGCGAAGCTTCCTGGCATCTTGATTTCAGCTCCCAAAGCCCCATCTACCCCAACTATGATACAGCATGGTGCCTAGAATCAGTCTGCTCCACCCAGGCACTGACTCCTTATGTTACTAATGTGCCACCACTGGAGTTCCCTCATGGGAAAATGAAAGTCAGCAATACAGCGGTTAAGGTTTGGGCCCTAGACGTAAAGCCCACTCTGCCAATTCTAGCTGTGTAATACCAATGTGTTGCCTAACTGTGGGCTTCCATCTCTAAGATATAACATTATCCATCTGCAAAGGTTATGATGAAGATAAAATTGTGCCTGAAAAGCGTTTAGTAATACCATGGCAGACAGCAAGCACGCACAACGTGAGCTGCTATCATTTGCACAGCTGCCTTCATCAAGTTCTTCATGAGTTTTAACAAGGAATATCCTAAGTGAAAGCGAATGGCATGAACAGCTTGGGGAGCAAGCTGGACTTACTGCCTGAGACTTCTGGTTTGAGGGGATCACAAAGATATTCTGGATCTGCATCATGGCTGCAATGCTTAGAATTTCCTGAGAACAGCCAAAGTTCCCTGTAAAGTAAAAAGGCATAATTGACTACAAACATATATCTCAAGAAGGAGTAAAAGACATTTACTTGGTACCATCCTATAAATTAAGATCATATTTTTTTTTTTAAAGTGTATTTGGCACAGGGTCTTACTATGCAGTTTGGACTCATAGTGATCCTCCTGTTTTCAGCTTCCCGGGCACTGGGATAACAGGTGTATGTCACCACACCCATTCTTGATGGCTGGCTCATTGCGCCCCGGGCCCAGGGGCAGGGTTGGCATGGTATGTAGTACCAGGGATCAAGCGCCAGTCCCTGCACTTGCCTAGGCAGGTGCTTAATCCCCTCAGCTATCTCGCCTACCCCACACAACACATTTTTAACTTTTAAAGTCTATGTTACATGAATAATTCACTCTGCCAAATGGAATGTCCGACAGGTGAGTCAGCCTTAAGTACTCTGAGAAAACGCTGCTATCCCACTCTGCAACAGTAAACTGAGGGAGCTCATGGTCAACCAAGGTGGGGTCTGGACTGGCCAACAGCAGGTCAGCTCCACCTTTGGCCCCCATGATAGGATGCACAACTACAATCCTGGAAGTACAGCTTCAGGAAGCACAGGAGGAAATGTGGAGCTTCCAGCTTCTAGGAAGTGTGTGGGTTGTGTCCCTCCTGCTGTTTCTCTGTTAGTGGCCCTTCTTTATGATCTTTCAAAAGTATCCATCTCTCTCAGGAAGACCAAGGCAGAAACAGAACAGACTAGCACTCATCTCATGTGCTGCTCCTGGTAGCACCTGAGAGCAGAATCTGCAGTAAACAGTCTTCCATTGGGAAGAGCAGACCACACTGCCCACCTCTGCTCTCACAGCTTCCTGCCTCATATACATGTACTCTCCCAACTCAATGCTCAGAATCTGCTTTTCATTGTAAAGCTACGGGCATGAGGCTGTTCCAAAACACAATTGCAGCCATTCATCATGCTACACCTTCATAAATTGCCAGCTGATAGATAAAAGTTAGGCAAAAGCCAAAAAAAAAAAACATTAAAATTTAAATAAAAAAATATATATATTAAAGTATATCTTTTCCAAAAAGGGATAAAACAACCTATACTGTCTATATCTTTTTGATTTCTAATTAAACACATCTCCAGGTTATATAGTTTATCCTAGAATTCATGTCCTCACAAAAATCTGAAGGCTATCAGAGAAGGTGGATCTGGAGCATACAGCCAAAAGCAAAAGCAAGAATTCAAAGAGGTATCTGCACATCCAAATTCACTGCAGCACTGTTCTAAACAGCTGAAAGATAGACGCAGATAAACAAGGAGTGGCACATACACACACTGCATTATTCAAATTTTTTAAATGGAAGAAATTTTGACACCTGCTACTGCATGGATACACCCTGAAGACAGAATGCTAAGTGAAATCAGCAGTCACCAAAAGACATACTACAGGAGGCTGCTGGAGTAATCATGTTCATTTAAAAAAAAAAAAAAATAGATAAATGTGGCTGCTGAGAAGGAAATGTGGAGCTTGTATTCATTCAGTAGGCACGGAGAGTCAGTGAGTAAAATAGAAAAAGTTTTAGATATGGTTGATATTGATAGTTGTACATCAATAAATGTTTTTAAAATCCCGGATCTATGTACTAAAAGAGTTAAGCTGGGCATAGTGGTGCAAACCTATAATTCCAACTATTCAGGAGGCTGAGGCAGAAACACTGCAAGTTTCAGACCAGCCTGGAAAACTCAGGAAGATTCTGTCTCAAAAAATGGAAGTGAGGGTGGGTGTACAGCTCAGTAGGAGAGCACTTGCCTCAGCAATGGGTTCAATCTCCAGTACCACCAAAAAAAATGGTGGGAGGGCAGATACTGGGAATCAAACTCAGGACCTTGCACTTGCCAGGCAGGCACTTGCACCGCTAAGCTATATCCCCAGCCCCTGAAAAAGGTATTTTAAATGGTAAATTGTTTTTGGTGTTATTTTTCTAGCCACAAACAGAAACAACAACTGACAATCAAAATAAAAAGACAACACAAGCTGTCAGGTTCTACCCACCTGATTCAAGCAGCATTTTGGCAAACATAGGATTCAAAGGAAATTCTGCTATTCTCATGCCGAGTGGCTCAGTAAGGCGACAGTCTTTGTCTAGACCTGCCAGGAAAACAACAAAAAGAAATCAGAAGGCATGTACCATTGTACTGGAAGATGTATGGTTGTTGAGAGAATAAAAGCTGATGTATGCTTTGAAAAGGAATCCAACAGATGACTCATACACTACAAAACCCAATTTGTACCAGAGAGCCTTTGCATCAAAAGAAGAAAAGAGCTTACTGAAGTCCTGACTACCCAGTTTTTAAAACTGTTACTTTTAATAACTTATATTCAAAGACTTAATTATAAGAAAATGGTCCTGCAAGAGCTTCTGACTCCCACTCTCTCTTCATTCCGCAGCAACTTCCTTCCATTCCCACTGCTCCACAAGGCAGCTGTAAGTCCCAGCAGGTAGGCGCCACCAGATACACAAAGGCTATCTTCCTTCCAGGCTCCAGCAGCAGCTGACTGCTGAGCATGGCTGGTGGGAGCTCTTCTTCTCTAGCTTCTCTATCCCACTCCCTTCTGGTTCTCTACAACCTACCCTAGAGGCCTCCCCACTCTCCCCCCGGCACCCTCCGGCACCTTCTGGATCCAGGCCAGCAATTCCGGATCTAAATGCTAGCCTGGACTTCTCTAGACTTTACACTATACCAGCTTATCTAACCTATCCAACTTGGCAGACTCCTAATCAATTCACTACCTTTCTTCCTGGCCTTTCTACTGCTTGCCAATACCCAGGTATTAGATTCCCAAAACCCTAGATATAGACAGTTGTTTTACTGTTTAAAATAAATGTTGCAAGAGCTCAGAATGAGACAGAAAAAGTCATCTTTCTCCTGTTCCAATATAATCATCTCTTTAAAGGTGAAGCTAAATTAAGTTGGAGGTTTCCCTCTACTTTTCTCAGCTTATTTAGGGCACTAAAAAAATAAAACACATTTTATCTTTTGTTATTTTATTGAAGAAAAATCAATCCAAATGAAAAACATCAACAGAGCCAGTGCTCTCCCAACCTCACTATAGTTAACCTTGCTTTCAAGTTCCTAGAGAACAGGAGACAGAAATCTACTCCAACACACTCCGGGCTAATCTTTTGTGAACTATGCTGAAGACCTTTTAAATAATCAGAAAGCTTTTAAATCAGTAAATTCACAGAGAAATATCATAAACACCATGAATTTAAAAGGCCCCCATGCTATACCTAAAACAGAAAGATGTAACAAAATGAACGCAAACTTAAAGAGTCGAAACTACAAAACTGCGCTCACTTCAGAAGCACATATACTAAAATTGGAATGATACAGAGATTAGCATGGCCCCTGCACAAGGATGACATGCAAATTCGTGAAGCGTTCCATATTTTTATAAAAACGAGGTATAAAAAGTAAAGCCATATTAATATGCTAAGCTGTCAAAGGCTCAAGTCAACAACTTCTGACATTGCCAGTCCTACGGATAACCCACTACTATTATGGACTACTGGACTATATTGGATTATTTTGCTGAATTCACGCACCTACAATATTTAAATGGCAGTGGAATACTCATCTCTGACAAAACTAAACAAAAAAAAGGAGATACAAATGAAGGACCATTTTGTATCTGTATATGCAAAATAGGATAGATATACAGCTACTTTCTCTTAATTCAATGAGAAGAAAGATTTGTACTAATAGCGTTTGGACAGGATATCATGTCTGCATCTTGTACTATGAATAACCACTACAAAGAAAAAATAATGTATTCATTATTTTAACTGTCCTACTGATCTGTTTTGAAACTCATTGCTATTTGTTTCTCAATAAAATAAAAAAAAAAAAAAGAAACTACAAAATTATTTAAAGAAAACCTAGAGGAGCTGGTGAGATGGCTCAGTGGTCTAAAGCACCTACTTAGAACAAGCTTAGCAAAGCACAGGACGGCGGTTCAAGCCCCCAGCACCACATGCCAGCCAGCCCCGCCCCCTGGTGGGCTGAGCTGGCCAAACACACAGATATACACACACACAAATAAATAAAATTTTTAAAAAATAAAAATAAAAATAAATAAAGAAAAGCTAGACATACATTTTATCAGGTTAGGCATTTATTATTTATTTACGTATTTATTTTTGGTGGTGGAAGCTTGGGCTTTGAACATGCTAAAGATGAGTTCTACCACTAAGCTATACGCCAAGCCTATAAGCAATATTTTCTTAAATACAACACCAAAAGCCCATGATAAAAGAAAAACTCAGTAAATTGAGATACACAAAACCTTAAAACTTGTACTGCAAAACAATACCATTGATTAAGTGAAAGTCTTCACAAATCACTTAAAAGAAATTTGTATAGAAAGGCCCAGCAAGATAGCTCAGCAGACTAAGCACCTGCTTAGGCAAGTGCAGGGGCTGGGGTTTGATACCCAGCACCACATGCCGTGCTAGCCCTGCCCCCCCAGGTGTGCTGAGCCAGCCATGGAGTCCAGGCATGGTGGGGCACAACTGTAATCCCAGCACTGGGGAAGCTGAAAACAGGAGGACCACTGTAAGTCCAAGCTGCATAATGTACCAATACATTTTTTTTAAAAAATGTACAAAAATGAGCAAAGGATTTGAATAGGTACTTCTCCAAAGTCAGACCTCCAGATCTGCAGGTTCTAACCTTGGATTCAATGAGTTACAGTCTGAAAATATTCATTAAAAAAAACTATATTAAGCACTCATGGACTTTTTTCCTTATCATTGTTACCTAAACGACAAAAGAGGAAAACTCACTATGCATTAGGCACACTAAGTAATGCAGAAATTATTTAAAGTACATGTGTGCAGGTTATATACAAATACTATGCCATTTGAGACTTCAGTGTCCATGGATCTGGCATCCAGAGGTTCCTGCAACCAATCCCCCAGGACACTGAGGGAAGAGCGACATTGTACACCCGATGGCAAATACACATAAAATGGTGCTTAATGCCATGAGTCATCAGGGAAACGCAAACCTCACCCACTAGATACCATTCTGTGTCTACTACTTTGGCTACAGCACAAAAGTCAGACACAACAAGCATTGGCCATAAGCAGAAAACTGGAATTCTCATACACTGCTGGGGGGAAATGTCCACCAAAAATTTCTATGAAGATGTTCACAGTAGCTTTATTTATATCACAAAATGCAGAAACCCACATGTTCATCAACCACTCAACAGATAAAAATATGTGATATATCCATACAATGGAATATTATTCAGCAGAAACAGGAATAAAATCCTAATACAAGCTACAATGTGAAGCATAGAAGCATGCTAAATGAAAGAAGCCAACCATAAAAGAACATATGCCTAACTCCACTAATATGAAATAACCAAAATAGGCAAATCTATAGAGGCAAAACCAAATTAGTGATTCTGGGAATGGACAGTGCATGCTAATGGGTATGGGATTTCTTTTCTGAGTGATAAAAATGTTCAAAAACTACAGTCTGTAGACTGTAAAACCCTGTGAATATACCCAAAGACAAGGAATTGCACATTGCAAATGAATGGTAACTTACACGTTAACAAAGCTTTTAAATGAGAAACACTCAAAACAAACCTCAGGACAAAAATCCCACTGACGCTTGGTACTGACCCAGACTGATACCCACTTGGGCACTGTGTACAGAGACAGTACTTCCTGAGGAGGTGAGTGTAGGCTATGATCTTCTCTATCTTAATACACAGCACATTTTCAAGCAGGGTTGCTCTGTGACATGACATTTCCTTGCCTAAGCTTGTGATCTACCTAATTCCCCATAGAGAACTCCAGGAAAGAAATGAAAGGGAACTGGGGAGAGAAACACTGAACCACAGAATCAAGGTCATTGTGAGAGTTGGAGAAAAAGAACTGAGCAGGTAACATCTGAAGCCTGGTAGAGAACTGCTCACCTCTATGTGTCCCTGGTAATGGTTTTCCTTTATCTCTGAGGTACAGGCCAGCTTTATAATTGTCAAAGTGCCCTTCTAATTACAGTCCCAATTTATTTCAATAATGTCAATAACAGTACCGCACTTGTGGAGGGGAATGATCATATTGAAGATACTTACAACCGTAAAATAAATCCAACTAACTACCACACAGATAACAAATAATTAGACAGAAACAAGCATACCTCCCAGGGCATAGAGTAACTCCAAAGCTTGAACCATAGACTGTGCTGGAGGGGGCTGCAAAATACATAAAAGGTCTCTTACATTAATGTGTTTGGGCAAGCAATATAAAAACATGATCCCCTCCTGCTCAAATCCACTCTCCCTCTAGCATCCCCCATTCTTCCCGGCTTCTGGGCTGGTGCTGCCTTGAAATCTTTCCCACATTCTCAGCAACCTAGGACTAATATACTTGCCCTTTAAGGGTCAGCTTCACTAAACACTTCCTCTAACAGCTCCCTCATCCTCTTCTCCATCAGAGGCCACAGTCTCTTCCTTAAACTACTTCTTCCTTGTGCCCAAACTCCCCCAAGACATTTTTAACCCTTACTTCATAGTCCCAACCTTCTTCCTTGCTGCGAGCTCCAAGGTACTGCAGTGCTCTGGGGGATCTCCTCTTTGTAAAACCTAGAGGCCTGCTCGACAGCCCTGCTCTAGGTAGTTAATAACTGTTGCATCTGAATTTCTGAAAGTAACAGATGCTAAACAATCTGAAGTTAATCAAAGCTGATACTGTGATCTTTAGTCGATTCTCTGGATCCTTCCTTCCTTTCCTCTACAGGTCTTTGAATCAGGCATCATTATTTTCTTTTCTCTAAATTATTTGGTTTCTAATAAACTAGTTAATAAAACTGTACAACTTTTGGAAAGTGCATAGCTTTTCTTCTAAGTGTGTTTATATAACAACTATACAGAGTCTGCCAAAAATAAATGTATACACAGTTTAGCAGTTCACTATACTAATAAATGCCTGGAATTTAATGGCCACCACTTTGAGCACCTCTTATAATTCTAGAGGCCAAAGGTAACTTGTATCAATTTCCTTATGTCTCAACAAATTTAGTATTAGGATATTTGCACTCTCTTTCCCAGTGTACACATGATCTTGGCAGACTCTATATTTAAAATATATACGCATATTTTAAACTTTTATTAGTACATGTTTATGGTACATAATGATTACCCTCACTGTAGGGGAATGGTATACGCATATAACACATTTCAACTCTCTTTTTCCCCAACCTCGCTCCCTCCATCCTCCTTTTATTCCCCAACCCCGCTCCCTCTAGCCTCCTTTTATTTTCCCATTATTAGATAAATTCACCTCGTAAGACCTTATAAAGTTAATCAACACATATACAGATTGAAAATCTGACTAAAAGGCAACAAACTTATAAAACAGGTAGAATAATTATAAATACTCTTTAAGACACTGTTTTGGCTCAATTTTACAAATGTAGAAAGTGAGTAATGGGCTGGACAGATAGCTCAGCAGCATAAGCACCTGCCTAGCAAGTGCAAGGTTTCAAGTTCAATCCTCAGTACGGGGGGGGATTATTATTAAAAAAAAAAAGTGAGTAACAATAAATAAAAGATTTTCAAACACAGTTACATAAGCTTTTTTAAAAAATTTACACAGGATATCATTATGTAGTTCAGACTGGCCTCAAACTCATGGCGCGCCACCTGGCTCAGCCTCCCAAGTGCTGGGATTACAGGCAAGTGCCATCATGCCCTGCTTTGCTTATTTGTTTTTGAGAGTCTTGCTGTTTAGCCCAGACTGGCATGGAACTCAAGGAGATCTTCTTGCCTCAGCCTCCTGAGAGCTGGGATTACAGGCATGTACCAACACACTCAGCTCTTTGGGGAACTGCTTTTAAAATCAGATGCGAAGCTTACGCCTCATTTTCTCCACTTTACCTCATACATTCTGCAGCTATTCACTACATGTAGGATATTCATCAAATCACTGTTGTGCAAAGCATGTTTTGGCTCGCTTTAACTGACCCACTAGCCTTTCCACAGTGCCTGTGCCTGTCTTCACCTTGAAAAAGGTGAAATGCATAATGCCTACATGGAGGCGCTCAAGCCCTCTGGGATCGTTTATAATGAAGTTACATGAGGTAAGAGAAACAGCAAAGCTCTGATTTAGGTTTGAAGCAATTAAGAGAACAAAGCTAACCGTGTCTTCTTGGACACTTCCCAATTCCAACTCTAGCCAATATCATTAATCAAAAAACCCCACTTGCCCCAACCCTCCTCAATAATCGTATTTACAGTGTTTCTGCCCAAACACTGATTCACTGGAATTCTTTCAGGACCTTGTTTGATCTGGGATCACACACCAGCACTGTTTTAGTATATTTACCATTTCTGTCTATGTACAGTTTGAGTTTTTCCTCACTGTGCATTTTCCTGTTTTACTGTTTCTTGTACTCCCAGAAACTTGCTTCCAGTTTTTCATTATTATAAATAACATTCCTAAATACAAAATTATATGTACTTGTGATTTCAACTGAAAAAAAAATTAAAGGAAAATAACAAGAAAAGTATAAAGATAAATTTGTACATATTTGTTCATTTTTGATTGTACAAGTTTTATATTATTTATATTTTTAAATTTAATATAAAATACTGCTATAAGCATTATATATCTGCATAAACTTTTCTTTTGATTTACGTGTGTGTGTGTGTGTGTGTGCATGTGCGTGCGTGTGTGTGTGTGTGTGTGTGTGTGGTGTGTTACCAGGGATTGAACCCATGCTAAGAAGCATTCAATTACTGAGCTACGTACCCTACACCCCCAACCCCCACACTGTGGAATTAACCCAAGGCCTTCAGACTGAACTGTATCTCTAACTCTTTTCCATCTTTTGAGACTAGGTCTTGCTAAGTCACTCTGTCCATCCTTGAACCTGCCATCTTTTTGTATCCATCTCTTAAGTAGCTGCAATTACAGGGTTAAGCCACCTCACCCAAGTTACTTTTTCAGAAAAATTTTCCATTAGAAAAAACTAGCAGGCATTTCAATGGCTCATAAATACTGTCAGGAAGCCCTCCACAAAGACAAAAGCAGTATTAATGCACCAGCAATACATATGCATTTACTTTCTCAAACTGTATCAGCTCTAGATCTTATCAATTTTCTTAATATTTGAACATTAATTAGTGTTTGCAATGAAAGATATATTCATCCTGTGGGGGGGCAATGTCAGTGTCTCTGTTTCTTTCTCTCAGACTTCATATTCATGTCAGTTTACACTTATGCCTCCTCTGGAGAAGCATAATATGTCCTCATATCAGCTTACAATTTATATTGCTTTAGCCTTCTCTTTATTAGATATTATATTTGGGCTATTCTATGGGATGCATATAAAAATTATTTGTACTTTTAGAGATATTGATGTCATTTCTGTCATGTTGTCTTTTATTCTTAGATATGGAACTTTCCACAGCTTTTACATGCGTATTGAGACTTTTTCTTTTCCTTATAGTACCTTCTAGAGCAATAGAAGATTTTCTTTATAGTTACTGGAAGTACACAATTACTTCATGAGGGATTCTATTATTTCATTCACCTAGTTTACCAGGACATAATGACATTAGGAACTTCATTATCCAAAAATCCAGGCTTGTCATACCAGTTAGGATACAAAAAAGTTATTATAAGTCCTCAAATCATAAAAATTCCAGAATAAAATGAGTGAATATGTATAAACTGACCTAGATCCGAGAAGTGCTTCATAAACACAAGAATAACCATAAAAATCATAAAGACAAAGAAAGATTTTTATACAGCTAAATTCAGAATGTCTGCACATTTAAAAGAAACAAAACCCAAGTAAAATATAAATAACAGACAAAATATTTACAAATATTATTATAGACAAAGGTTGATGTCTTTAATGGACTCCTGAAATGTCACTAATAAATACTAATTCCAAGAGATAAATGGTTTAAAAATTCAGGTAAAATATAAAGTGGCCAATAAACATTAAAAATCTACTGTATGAGGAAATTTTTTAAAAGGTAAAGATGAGAATACTATGCTTTCCTGTCCATTTCAATTAACGAAACTAAAAGAAGAAAATGGGAGTGCTGGGGGCCAGGCCTCTGCCAGGCCTCTGCACGCACTGGAGCCCACCACAGGACTACGGTGCTTTCGCCCAGTAGCTCCCTCCTAGCAACCTGCCCCAGGTCATCACCAACACGCATTAGTCACACGACTTCCCCCGTCTACCAGACATGACTTGGTCTCTCAGAGCGCTGTGTACACTGCTCTCATTGCCCACTCACTTGTCTCTATTCCCCAGCAATGAAGAAGAGGAATCACATAGGAACAAGAACTGTCCCTGTCTGAGAGTTCTTCCCCTTTGCTGCACACAACCTGTACCAAGTTAGCACCTTCATTTCAGCTGAGTGGGGAACAATTAAAGACAGCACACCATACCACAATGGCCGGACACATCCCTGCCAGTCCCCCAGAGGAAGGGAGGACTTACCGACATGAAGTGGAACCTGAGGACATTGTCAATCCCTAGTGCTTTCAGCTGCAGAATGACAGGGGCCAAATTGCTGCGCTGCATCTCAGGAACAGTAGACTGAGGCAAATTGTCAAAGGCTTCCTCTGAAGATAGGAAATTACAACTGTTTAGGATGAAATGTGTTAATCAAATGCAATCACATGCCAAAGGGACAGTCTTCTTCTACTCTGAAAAAAAAGGATTCAGGATTCAGGGACCAATGCAATGGCAGTATGATGTAAAGTTATTTTTATATTTAGGAAAGATTACTCACTTTAAAAAATACTTCAAATAAATTTATTTGAACTATCCACCTTTATAAAAGTTTGTTCTTTTATAAGTTTTTCAAGTTCATTTTGTCAGAAAAATGTTAAATCAAAGCCAAAAAGTATACTTGGGGTAGAGTATTTCAAGGAGGCACAAACTGCACATACAAGGCAAGAACAATTTTAAAATAAATCAAACACTACAAACAGAGAATAGCAAATGACTAAATCTTATAAAAAGCAGTGATCCAATCTATTTTTTAAAAATTAATGAGCCAAGTACAATATCACACTCATACTCTGACACCGACCCAACTAGATTAATAAATGATTTATTTGCCCCATCAGAAAAAAATTTGACCTCAAACAGGACAAAACAGAGATCCCAAGACTGGAGAGGCAGGAAGAAGGGTAAAGAAGGATGACCTATGTAAGGCCTTTTTACAAAACCTGTGAGGTAGAGGAAAGAGGAAGAAAGAAAATAAATTATCTGTGTATATCAGAAAGTTTATGGATTATATAAAAAACGCTCAACCCACTAAATCCTCCCACATCAATCAGCATTCTAACAGACAAACACACTCCTTCAACACCAGGGCGACCCAACCCCAACCTCTATAGAGATCATAACGCTTTAGTAAAATAAAGCAAAACAACAAAGGTGTCATGAAATATTGTACTACCACTGAAGAACTTCAAAGGTGTTATCTTTAAAAAAGCAGAAAACCAGTGTTTGGACCGTGCGATATAAATTGTGAAAAGCACTGGTATAATTGAAAGGTTCTAGATGATGAGCAACAGCACAAAGTTCAGAATGGATACTCTCTTCAGTTTCAAGAGCAACCCTAGACAACACTTTTTTGTAAAGAACCATACTTCACAAGCATGTCCACCGTGCCAAGAGAAAAGCAAGGTCCTCAGATAAGAGCGCAACCTGCAGAAAAGACACAGAAAGCACGTGCTTCCAAGGAGTTCAAAGCACTCAGACTCTGCAGAGACCTCGTGTCTGGGCCAGAAGCTGAAGGGGATAGCCTGTACAGAGCTGCCAACACCTTTTGGAAGCTCATCTTGCAGCCTTTAGGCTGGCACTAATGTACCTTACCATCCCACAGCCTTCCCCCAGCCCCATTTCCATTTATACTGTTCATGGTACAAGACTGGTTGGCTTTTACCTAAATCCACCTGCTTACCTTAAGTCTACATGAATCCCTTGGCACATGAAATGATAGTGGCCATTTCTCTTACTCTTCAGTAAGTTTAACACAGAATTACCATATGATCCTGCAGTACCCAGAAGAATCAGAAACCAGTACACCAGTACATGTACATGCATGCTCATAGCAACACTAGCGACAACAGCCAAAATTAAGCAAAGGGCCTGGGTTCAATCCTCAGTACTGCCAAAAAAAAAAAAAAAAGAAAGCCAATAAAATTGCAATAAAGTTAGACACAAAAGATCACATAGCCTATGATCAAATTTATATGAAATTTATTGAACAAAAAGATCCATAGAGGCAGAACATAGTTCGTGTTTGTCAGAGATCAGAGGTAAGAAACAATGGGAAGCAATTACTTAATGAGAAAAAATTCTGCACAGAAATGGAAACTTTTTTAAACTAAAAAAAAAAAGGAGTAGCTGCACAATATGAGTATAACGCCACCAAACTGTTTATTTTAAAATGGTTATGTTATATAAATTTTAACACAATAAATTTTAAATATGCACAAATAAAATCTTGAAACTTCCTCCTCCTCTGCCTTACAGGGTACCCTAGTACTGGTTCTTCCTTTCCCAAGCCAATCACCCTCTTAGCACCTCCAAAAGCTGCTCTTACCTCTCTGGTCTGGGTTTTGCCTATTTCCTTCCAGCCATTCACATACTATGTTCTTTTCTTTCCTTCTAGGTACTTAGACACGCCATCCTGTCTACTGGTGTGCTGAAATCTAATTTCCAATACTACCCCTTCACATGCACAACCACTGGGCGTCCAAGATCACACTCCTAGCTGACCATGGTAGTACACACCCATAACTCTAGCACTCAGGAGACTGAGGCAGGAAGATCACTACAAGTTCAAGGCCAGCCTGAATGTCATAGCAAAACTGTTTCCAAAAAAATAAAAGAACTTTAAAAACAGAGTCAAATCCTAGAGCACATCTGAATACCACCTCACTTGTGAAGTGTTCCTCAGCCTTCGCAGTAGGACATGAGCCCTCTTCCCTACTTACAAGGCTCCCTTTCTGTGACAGGGACGCTCCCACATGGTAACACACTGCATGTTTGTGGCTCTGCCCTCACCACCAAACTAGCTACCATGTAGCCACAGGTTATGGCTTAGCTAGCTCTAAAGCCCCATGGCCAGGCACCATACAAAGCATGCAGCAGGTGCTCTGTGAACACTCACTAAGAGAAAAGAATGAGGGCTGGTGAGTGTAGCTCAGTGGCTAAACACTTGCGTAGTGTGCTCAAGGCTCTGGTGCCATATTAAAAAAAAAAAAAAAAAAAAAAAAAAGATATATATATATACATATATGGCAACTAAAAATGAAAGGAAGAAGGGTCAACCAAATAGCTCAGTGTGATTAAAGCACCTTGCTTGCAGGGGCCAGGGGTTTAATCCCCAGGCCTGCCATGCGGGCCCCTTGCCGGCCCCACCCCTGGGGTGTGCGGAGAGGGCAATTGAGACTGAGCGTGGTGGCACACGCCTATAATCGCAGCTCTTGAGAGGCTTTAAACAGGTGGATCACTATGAGTCCAATCTAGTAGTGAGACCCTGAACACCCTGTAGACCCTTCCCTAGAATGAATGAATGAATGGAAGAAATAAATAGTAAAGTTAAAACTACCAGATCTGGTAAGACACTTCAGATGGGATACTTGACAGAGGTGGGAATTATCACCAATTGGAAATTAGGCGTAATAATAAAAATCTCAGTATTTGTCCCCCCAAAAAAACATACACAGAGAGAGAAAGTGCAGCTTTGGGCATATCATCTACTCATTAAAGCTGTTTCCATGCTGAGTAGAAAGTTCCTCAAAGGCTAGGACTGTCCTTTGTCGAATTCAATTTTGCACCCTCAGAGCATCAGTGCTTGACACTGGGCAGGAGTTTGGCAACTGTTAGGTGTGAGTCTCAGGACAGATCCTTCATCCCAGCTCAACAAAGATGGACCAGAGCCCAGTATGAGGTCCCACAAGATTCAGGAATATCAGAATAAGAGAACAGCCCATTAAGCTAAGGAAAAGGTAAGAAAGATAGAATCTGAGACACAGAGCCCACACAACAGGGTCACATGGCCATAAAAGAGCATAGGTCCAGAAAGTAGGTTAGAACAGGGATGGCAAACAAGGGAAATCACTGGGCCAGCTTTAGCCAATGGTGAGTGTTAGCAAAGAGTTGTAAATACACTGAGGAAGATGAGGAGCCAGATCAAACAGGGCCCTGGCAGAAGGTACAGATTCTGTTAAGTTCGACCACAAGGGAAAAATATATGCTATATTGGGGCTGGTGAGATGGCTCAGTGGTCTAAAGCACCTACTTAGAACAAGCTTAGTAAAGCACAGGGACCGTAGTTCAATCCCCCAGCCCCACATGCCAGCCAGCCCTGTCCCCTGGTGGGCTGAGCTGGCCACACACTACACACACACACACACAACACACACACAAATTCACACACACACACACACACACACACACAAATAAATAAATAAATAAATAAATAAATGCTATATTATTCAATGCCCCAGCTAACTACAAGAAAGTCAAAAACCCTTAATGAAACCCACACTAACCTGTATAAAGGCGATAACACTTTCCTGAGCGGTTGCGTCCACCACGTCCTGCTCGTTGGTTGGCTGATGCTTGGGACACAGGCACCACCACTAAGCACTCAATAGCTGTCCTGGGATTGTAGGCTCGCAGCTTCACAAAGCCGCAGTCAATCACATATACAATGCCACTGATTGTAATGGAGGTTTCTGCCACATTGGTAGCCACTATCACCTATGTTCCACACAAAAATAAGAAAAATCATTTTATTCTTTCACTTTAAATAAACTGTTAAAAGTCTTAAAGATGTAATGATATTTCAAATACTGCAAATGTGTATGGCAGTTGCAGTCTCTGGGCCACCCTGAAGTACTTTTCTTTAGGTATTTGTATTTTATTCTAAGTCCACTGGGTGCTGCTGCTACTGGAGGGTTCTAAGTAACAGTATATTTAAGTGTAAATAAATAATAATCAGAACTTTTTTCAGGTACTTTACATTTTATAAAATCATTTCATAAAAATCTCTTGAACACGTTTATATAGCAGAGAGTTAAGGTTTCACATTATAAAACTGTCAATCTCAAAGTTATTACTATTTATGTCTTACAACTACAAAAATCAAGGCTTGAGGTTAAGTAATTCATGCTGGAGCACACAATTCAGCAATGAAATCCAGGTGTTCTGAAAGGCTGGCTACAATTCATGTTTGCATACGCAGACACAGGTTGCTCTATCCCGCTGACGGAGCCAGTGGATACCCTCTTGTAAGTGGCCCCAAACTGTGAAGGGGTCCTCAGTCCAACTGTCACCTACTTTATTCTCTGGCACCTATTGTGCATTCCTAATGTAACAGAATGAAGAAGGCAGAAAAGCCCTAGGGGAAAGGGAGCAGAATCAGGCTGGCTGACAGAGGGCTCCTTCTAACCATGCTCCTTCCCACCACACCGTTCCCCACCCCAATTTTAAGGCTGGATATACTTAAGCCACACCTTAACTGATTTAAACTTGGCTCTACAAGCAAACTGACACTCATAATGAATGATCTAGAAACACCAACATCCTCTAAGGCAGTCCCTTAAGCCAAGATAGTATCATGTCAAGGAAAATATCAGACAGATAAAAGGGAAGTACAGAGAAGTCACCTGCTCTGAGTTACTCTTCTTTGGGGCAGGTTTAGCAATCTTCACAACACATTATTTATTGTATGCTTTTAAGATCTACTACAAAAAAAAAAAAAAAATCTACTACATACAGATAGCTTAGTGGACTAAAGCGCCTGCTTAGGCAGAGCACAGTGGCTGGAATTTGATCCCCGGCATGCTGTGCCAGCCCCACCCCTAGATGGCAATTGAGACTAGACATGGTGGTACACACCTGTAATCGCAGCACTTGGGAGGCTGAAAACAAGAGGATCACTACGAGCCCAATCTGTGCAGTCAGACCCTACAGACCCTATACTAAATACATTAAAAAAAAAAAATCTAGAAATATGGGCCTAAAATTCTGAAAGAAATTTTCCTGCTTAGTAAGCTCTGTCTCAATTTTTAAACATCTTTCAGTGTATGGCAAAGGGACAGGAATACAACTATAGATGGCTGGAAACACCTTTGGTCATCAAGATAATCTCACCTTTCTCACACTGCGTGACACTCTTTCAAACACTTTCATTTGCTCAAAGGAAGGCAGTCCTGCATACATGGGGAGAACCCGGAGGTGTTTCTTCATCCCAGTGCGAGCTAGTGCTCTGGCCTGCTCAATCAGCATTGACACAACAGTTTCTACTTCTTCCTAGACATTGACCCAGGAACCAAAGAAATGAAGATCAATCTGAATGTCATGTTATCACAGCAAGACAATAACAGTTGATCAGGATTTTAATTTGGGTCAGATTCATGACCTTTAATCAGATATCCCACTCTAGGATAATATTTTCAGATGCTACTATACAACTGTGCCAACGAAATGAAAACTTCTAACTGCAATATTAATTACTAAAATCAAGCTATCTGCAGTAATAGAATTATCAATAAATAGACTACTCATTTTTTATGTACTGTAGCAAACAAAACCTTTTCATGCATAGGAACAAGTTGTAGCCAATAAAATCATTGCAAGTTTTTCCCAGAAAAAAGCATCAAAGGCAAAATATGTTTGGCAATGCAAAAGACTACAGCTGGAGGAGGGTAATTCTGAACAGTGTCACAAACTTGATGCAGCACTTAGGCTTCTTTGGTTGTTTTTCCAGTAACACAAACACCTGAGCATCCTCAGAATGAGGTGTAAAGACGTCACAGGGACAAGGGGTCTAGTACGGGGTGGTAGTAATATGTATGCAGCAAAACCCATCTCATGTACTACTCAACATTAGCAAACAAAGCCCAGTAAGTCCACTATCTCATTTATTTTAGCATGAGCTGGTAAATCAAAAATATAATTAACTCTTTTGAGACAACAGAAACTCGCTAACAATCCAGTTGTTAGATGAATGACATCAAACCCAATATTTCATGCAATTAAATAGACGCAAAATACAATAAATATGAAATAAATGTCTAAGTAACAGGGCTCTCTATTAATTCTGAAGCCTGTTGTTTTATTATACTGAATTACAATAAAAGTTGGGATCTAGTTTTTAATTTCAACTCTAGATGCGCCACTCTAGGATATTTGACCAAATGCTACTGAACAGCTGTTGCCTTACACACCTGCTCTTCACAGACTTCCAACAGAATTACCTGGCCAGTGAGAAAGGCTAATATGTCTCCATCTCCCTCTGTCTGGTGAATTTTCACCACAGTGTCCACAGTTGATTTGACATAATCTGGAACAGGACTGAGAAGATGTATGCAGTAAGTTCATCATTAGAATAGGCTTGTTAATCAACAGTCAATTACCCTAATAACCTGGCAGCAAAATCTCATCAAAGTTAGTTTGGGCTTGCCCTACATGTAACACAAATAAAATAAATATTCACTCTTTTTTTTTTAAATGAAGCATTTAAAAATAATTCAAAATTACTAAGACTTATATTTGCAAAACCCAGAAAGATTATATACCCATACGTACATATGTGCTATTTTACACATGCAAAGATGCCAGGCCACAAAACTGGGGGTTATGGCACTAGCATTGAGATTCGTGTCTTCTCAGTCTATTTTCCCTGCCTGGCATGAGCAACAGAAATGAGCTGGGTGAAAAGAGGTGGCAGACATGGTCCCACGCTAGGGCAACTCAGAAGTCAGATTCATAGCTCTGGATTTATGTCACTGGACCTGGTCTTTGTTCATTCAATGACTAGGCATAGGAATTAGATTAGCCCCTTTTTTACCCAAAGGATCTCCTCTCTAAAGTGCCAACAAGGCCTTCTTGCTAAGCACATAGAGAGCTGAGAATGAAATGACTCAAATCACAGTAGGACTATCCTCCCTGATGGACATCCTTCAAAACCCAAGTTCAGCAAACTTTCAAGCCTCGCCTTTCTGCCTAACACCACTTTGCTCTTTTAACTGAGTAACCAATCACAGATCCATGCAAACTGGCACACTACTGTCAAGAGTTTGAAATAAATGCAGCAAGGTATTGAGCAGGGTTCTAGAACATTCTGTCAAGGATAGAAGACACCAATATGCTCCTCACCACCCTCAGCTGGTAGCAGATGCACTTCCCCTGTAATTCCACACTATAAACCTAAGTTTCTAACTGCCATCATCAACAATCAAGCATCATCAAACCTTTGTAGATAAAATATATCCACTGGAAATGTTCGTCCTTCCACTGTAAGGATCACACATGTATCCCTGGTCGGGTCACTGGTTTCATTTTGATTAAAGAAATCTCGAAATTTCTAAAAAAACAAACAAAAATCATTTCTCTTTCTCAGTAAAAAATAAAAAGGATCACGGTAACTCACACAATGAAAAAATATAAAACTGGTGGAAGAGAAGAGGTGAGTAGTAAGGATTAGATATCTTTAACAACAATTATGTACTATAAAATAATTTTTAAAATTTACATTTTTGTTGAAATTGTGGGGAAGCATATTTCAGTGACAGGTACCACTTGAAAGGCAAGTGCTTATTCTACTGAGCCATCTCCCCAGCCCCTAATAGGTACCACTAAAGCTTTGACAGAAGTAACAAAGATTAGATTTCAAAAATACATTGAACGGGCCAGGGAGATGGCTCAGTAGAACAAGCATTTGCCTGGCAAGCACAAGGGCCTGAGTTCAACCCCTGGTTCCGCCAAAAAAATAAAAATAAAAAAAAAATTAATAAAAAATAAAAAATACATTGAGTGGTGCATCTGAGGTAATATGTAACTGTATTACTTATTTTATTCTTATCCTCTGTAGTTTATTCAACTAAAGATTAGGTCAATGGTGTGATCCAAGCTCAATATAAGCTAAATCAGAAAGATGTATACCTCTAACATGGACAGCGTAGATCCAATCAAACAAGACTGTCTATTTATAAAGGAAATTTTTATTTCTGAACAGTAGGTATGTTCCTGATACACACTGACTAAAACTTCCCAAAAACTTTGAGAGACGGTGCTTTCTCCATCTTTACACGCCCTGTGGATGTTCACACAGTGCTCTGCATGAGGAAAATCGCCCATTGTATCTCTCCCTGTCGGGAGAAGTGGCTGTAGCAATTTCTGGCAAACTGATGGTCACATCCTACTCTATGTTACTTGAGCACAAGACAAGCAGCCTAAGTTAGGTCTCAAAATTCTGTCTGATGACAAGGGACATCACCAAATACCCCTTATTGGAAAGTGTCCATAACATACATGGAGAAGCTGACAATGGGAAGAGCTAAGTCACTGAATAATCACACTGGCAGATAACACTAGACAGGAAACTACTCATGCCAGAGGCTGAAAGGACACAGACATTCAGTTTGGTGGAATGCTCAATTTTTTTTTTTTTTTTTTTTTTTTTTAATTCTGAGTGACCTTCCACTCCCTAGCTATTCCACTTCCTTGACTTCATTGTGTAGCTGCAAGGCTTATTTTATTTTCACTTCCCTATGTTCTGTTTTGTTATGGTTTGTATACAGGTTCCCCCCACCTCCCAGCCTCAAGCGGTCAGGGGGCAGCTTCCAGAGTTTGTGACTGATTATTGTGGATGTTGGGGGCTGCATCTGCTCTGGAGCATGAAATGTGCATTACAATGTAAGGAGGGGAAAGAGGCTAGCTAGCTGCCTGAGATGCTGCCACTCCCTCTACTCTTTGTTCTCTACCATATGCCACTCTGCCTTGGAGCCAGCTGAGCATGGACTGAAACCTCCACTACCTGTGAGCTAAATAAACCTTTCCTTCCTTCATTTTGGGTGTCAGGTATTTTTCCCAGCAACAAGAAAAGAGTAACTGAGACAGAACTTGGTACCAGGAGTGGGTTCACTGCTGTGACTAAAACTGATTATGTAGATTATAAGCTTTTCAGAATGGCTTATGGGAAGAGATAGGAAAGGTTCAGAGATTTCATTTACAAGAGACGTATTGGAACAGCTTTGGCTGTTCTGTATGGGAGATTCTGGTCACAGTGCAGAAGATCAGAATGCTGATAGAAATCCTGCCTGTAAAGACCAGGCTGAGGAGGCTTTTGCTGGGAAGAAGGACTATACTGGCTGCTGGACTCTAGATGATATGTGTTATGGCTTGGCAGAAAGTCTACATTTTGCTCATGTCCAGACTTTGCCTAAGACTGAGATTAAGTGTGATTAATCTGGCAAAAGTAATGTCAAAGCAGTCAAATACTGAAGCAGTGGAATGGCTATTGTTGGTGGCTTTTAGTCAGATTTATATTGAGAATCAAGAGCAAAGAACCCAGCAAGATGATTTAAAATGTTCTGAGTCTGGCCAAAAAGGAAGCACCAATAAAACCATGGACTTCAAAGATAGAGCTGAGAGAATTTCCATCGCTGGGAAGGAACTACAGAATGGAAATGATGGTCTGATGGCATCACAAGAAGCAGCAGATCACCACCCTTTGCAGCCTCAGAACTGCAAGGGTAAGGGACTTTGCCTTGAGGGGAAGCCACAGAGTCCCATGTTCCAGCACAGTGGAGGAAGCTACAACAAGTTCCAGAATGGTGCCAACATTGAGAATCTGTTCCTCAGAATCAGGTTCAGAGTGCTCAGAGATCCAGGCACTCGAACCCTATAGCCAAGAGAGAAGAAGGCCTGGCTACTGCTCCAGCTGGCAGCAGCCCCTGGCATCATCCACACAACACTGGTTTTAGACATTTGCAGAATGCAGGAGTTCTGAGGTTAAGAAGGCTTTCACCTCAATTTCAGAAGGCCTGGGAGGCCAGGCAGTGTGCCCCAAGAGAGCACTGTGTAAAGCTGTGAGTGAGAAGCCTATTCAGTGGAAACGCCCCCCGTCCCAAAGTTTGGAAAAGCCAGAAATGTGGATTATCTGAGGAAAACTTCAAGGAGGGAGCAAAGCCAGCCTAAGAGAGAAGACATGGGAGCTACCACCAACAACACAGCCATAGAGGTGGAGCCACATGTAGCTCATGATTTGCCAGATTGTAATTGATGTTCCACATGAAACTACAGGACTTAACGTTTGCCCTGCTGGATCTTGGACTTGTGTTGGTCCCAATGCTTTGTATTCCTGTTTGTACCTTCTGAAATGGTAGTGTTTATCATGTGCTATTGAATGCTCGAAGTTTTTAACTTTTCATTTGTACAGGGGCTCATATCAGAGTTTGCTTTTGATCTTGGAGACTTGGGACTTGGACTTTTCAGCAAATGCTGAAACTGTTACGACTCTGGCAATTCTCAGAGATGGACTAAAATGCCCTTTGCATAAAAGGATGTGCATGAGTCTTTGGGGGTGTAGGGGCAGAAAATTCTGTCTCACATACTCCTCTCTCATTCCTGGGACAAATACCCAACATTCAAAATGAAGGAAAGAAAGGTTTATTTAGCTCACAGTTAGTGGAGGTTTCAGTTCATACCCAGCCTACTCCAAGGCAGAGTGTGGCATATGGCAGACAGCAACCTTTCATGGTGGCATCAAAGATCAAGAGAGCAAAAGGAGTGGCAGCAGCTCAGGCAGCTAGCTAGCCTCTCTCCTCTCCTCATACTGTACTGCAAATTACCTGCCCCAGGGCAGGTGAAGCACGCACACCTAGAATAATCAACCAAAAACTCCAGAAGCTGCCCCCTGATTGCATGAGGCTTTGGGGGGACACCTATACACAAACCATAACATTCTGTATACAAAATATGCCCATCCTTCCTTCTAGCCACCCTAAACCCCAAAGCTGATCTAATGAATGGCAGCAGGCACAAACAGATTTGGAGGAACTTCTAAAAGAGCCCACTGGATTTAACACTAGGCTGCCACGCTACACATTCAGCACAGGCTGTTTTTGGCAAGAGAAAGCACAGATATCGGAGTGTCTCTTGCCAACAAAGCGAATCCCATGACATCACCCTTCACTTTTCCTTTGGGTCAATTTCCTTCAGTCACTTCAGCATTCCTGAACCCCTATAACATGCAGAGGATAGACACATGTGAAAACAGAACTCCCACACCCTTCCCCAAATAAACAGTTCAGGATAGACAAATGTACAAAAAAAATTACCTGAGGAAAACTGCCTGTCACACCACAGAACTGCTGCAATTTACAATGTGATTATAAACAGTTACAAATGGTCAGTAACTACTGGCTTGCAGGGAAGGCTTTAGAGAAGCAATTCTATTCCTTGATTGAGCCTTAAAGGACCAAGATTATGACCGGACAGGATGACACAGGATGTAGATTAAGATGACATAAAAAGGGTCCTGGCAGGAGAGAGACCAACATCTAAGGCAGGCTACCCAACTCATAAATTAGTGCTCGCCTATAAAATGGACAAACTGCTATCCATCTGCAAAGTGGTTGCAAGGTTCAAGCAAAGAACGTTTGAGGGTCCATAGCACAGGTCTCGCCTACGACAGGTCTCAATAAGGGACTGCAGGTATCACTCTCAAAGGGCTCAAATGCCCTGCTATGTGGGCTCTGTACTTGCTGGGCAAGACTCGGGCAGTAAGGATGGCCCTTATATTATCAGATCGGGCTCTAGACCCTAGGCTCAGGTGGCCATTTTGGAGATAGCAGAAATAAAAGATTGGAGGCAACTGGACTAATTAAGGGAACAACGAACAGTTAGGCAAGAGGGTGAGGGTATGGATTCATGCAAAGCACGTCAGAAGCACAACTGCCAGGACAGGACCCGACAACCAAGGAGCACAAGTGCACACATTCCTGTGAGGAGAAGAAGAGAACTGCTTCTTAATCAGGGATGAAAACTTTCTAAAGCAGTAGTGGAAATCTTGGGTCTGTGATCATGGGAAAGGGCCTGAGACCAAACCTGAGAGTCATGAGTTTCAGTGGTCTCTGACCAGTCAGTGGCTGGACAGCAAAGGCTGGAACACACAAGCACAGTTAAGCACAAGGCATCAGATGACTCGAGGTCACAGCCACGGGCAAAGCAGAGGAAGAGTAGCTAGAAAAGGAGGAGAGAAGACATGGCAGGACTCCACAAGCTACAGGCAGAAAAGAAAGATTTCAAGAAGGGCTCAACAGAGAGAGCTACATGTTACCAACCAGGCACACAGAATGGAGAGGTGCTATCTTGCTGCTGTTGGAGTGGGTGGCTACATCTCAGATACTTAGGAATACATGGTGCAGAAATGGAGAATTATTCTTTCAAGAAAAGAAATGCCATGCGTACTGCGAAGGTACAGGAGCCTTATATTTAAGATTTTTATCCTTTATCTTCATTTGGAATATAAAATAAAAATAAAAGCAAATAATATCAACAGTACCAATTCAGGGCAGAATCAAAGAAATGGGAGTGAAATGAGCTCCACACACTTAGAAAAAGAAGAGTATGAGTGGGGCTCAAAGGAAGTAGAGTCACAAGACAAAGAAACACAGACATAAAAGAAGAGGACAGTCTGAATGATGCGGACATCTGCTGGGCTGTCTTCCAGCTCAACCAAGCCAGGAAATTATTTGATCAGTCCCATCATGCCCTGCTTGTCTCCCCCTCCCCACTATAGTCACTTATGATATGACACCAGGGCATGTGGTCTAACAACAGCGTTGTCGCTCTAGGAAACCTAGAGACTATCCTCGGACCCAGCAGATAGGGGCAGGGATGGGTTCTGTGCACCCTTGCCTTATTCAACATTGTCTTCCTCATTCTCATACTTTCACACAGGAACTCACATACCACACCCACATGGACCTATCCACCCCACCACACCCACATGGACCTATCTACCCCACACCCTCACCCTGGATAGACCAACACACCCATCCTCAGTTGAGGAAAGAATGAGAACTGAATGGCCTTAGCCTTGCCTCCACAGGCCCAGGTGAGTACTGCTAAAGTCCCAGCATGCCCTGCAGCACCTCCTACCAAGGATGACAAACCTCCTACCTCCTGCCTTCCCAGCATGTTTGTTTAAAAAAACAAACAAAAAGACACTCCCAGGATGTCACTTGCATCAAACTGAGAGAGACAGTGTTTTAAATCTCTATGCCTCACCAAAAGACAATGAATAGCAATTGTGAACAACTATCAAATATCAATTAGCAATGGTTCTAAGAAAAGACCCAGACACTACAGTGAGTAACAAAACCTGTTTGGAACAATTGTAGAATTGTTTAAGAGGAGAGAAGAAGCTGAAGAAAATAAGGGGTAAAACAGAGATGGTCTGTGTAACTTGGCCAAGGAGCAGGGAATTGGGAGGTAAAGTCAAGGACCATCCTCAGAGTAGCATTCAACAGACACCATAAAAATGAGAATCCACTGGGAAGGGTAACAGGAGCTCTACTCCAAAGGCTCTCACAGCCAGCCTAAAACAACAGGCTGTGAAAAACTCTGAGAAAATGGCCTGAGTACACATGCAGATAATTCTCATAGCCATACTAAACTTCTTTTACTCTATTCAATTTGTCTGTATTCTTGAAACTGCCCAAAGACCGAGAGAAAGCCAGGCACTAGACCTTCTTCATATCTCTTCTGGATTACAGAAGTGGCCTCATGACTGGTGTCTTCATATCTATCACTGAGTTTTCTATATAACACATACAATGATCTTTCTTGAACTCAAATAAAATAAAGTTACTTCTCCCCCGCCCCCATGGCTCCAACCAGGTATACCATGAAATCCATTGTTCTTTTCCAAGTCATGAGCCCTTCTGTCATGGAACTCATCACCCTCCATTTTAATCTCCTATGACTTCCTGTTTAATTAAAATATATTCAATCCAGGTAGCTACTCTGTGCCAGACTAAGAGCAGGAATAAAAACATGAGTAAGACAAAGTTCCAAACTTCATGGAGCCTACATTTTAGAAGGATTTTTTCTTTTTGGTTGGCTCAGAATGCCTTCAGGGTAGTTTGGCTGGCTGGAGTTGTGGGGATCGAACCACAGCAACCTGAGGCTGACTGCTTTGTTGAAGCAGCCACTTAAACAACTGAGCTATGGGGCAGGCCCCGAGCCTACATTTTAAAGACAGAAGACAAACACCTGGATAATGTACGTGAAGTTAGGGTGTGGCAATTGCTAAGTACAAACACAGAAACTTAGCCTAAAAGCATAGAGCGCAACAGGAGCAGTTTTAGAAAAGGAGACACGTCTGACCACATCTACAATGAAATGAGATAGTCTGAGAACCATCAGACTATCTGAGGGTAAATGTTCTAGAAAAGAGCTCCATTCCACCTCTAAACAGAAACATGCTTGATGCCTGCAATCCCAGCACTTGGGAGGCTGAAAACAGGAGGATCACTACAAGTCCGATCTGTGTAGTAAGACCCTGCAGACTCTGTACTAAATACATTAAAGAAAGAAAGACAGACAGACAGACAGACAGACAGATATGCTTGGTTCTGAGGGACAGCAAGGTAACCACAAAGTGCGGCTGGAAGGGAGGAAGCAAAGGGAAGAGCACAGAAACGATAAAGTCAAAGCCATGGGTGGGCGACAGATCATCTTTGGAGGCCGGTCAAGCAAGGTCACACCTGAAGCTCCCTCATCTCAGTTTCTCACTACTGCGATTTTGAGCATACTTAGGGAGTCCTTCCCAGCTTTGTCCATCTGGAAAAGTGTTGTGGATCATTCAAAAAGGCCCAGCTGGGATGTAACTTTCTTGGTGAAAGTTTCTGGAGCCCCCTCACCAGCAAGCCAGCATTAAGAGCTCCTCCTTGGCAGCCTCAGCACCTTACACACACTACACAGTAAACATCTATTTATGTATCTGCTATCTTCAGGAGTCCACAAGGTATGAATCACCTGGAGCTAGTACAGTGTTTAGCATATGTAAATAGCAAGGGCCCAAAAATATTTGTTGAGTTGAACTAGGGTTTGGAATAAAATATTAGTCATCAAGAGAAAAAAATAATGTAAATACAATAATTTATAATCATATGTAGAAATAATTATATGTAGAGAAAATTCTTCAATTATACAAAAACAACTAAATGTATTTACACTGCCATCATAAATACATTCAAGAAATACAATCAACACTGAAAAAAGTAATGAAATGAAGCTGCCTATGTGGGGAGAAAGGTAGGATGTAGAGAAACAAGATGAGTGGGTAATCATGAACTTCTTAATTAGAGGCTAATTTCCACCCACAAGCTGAAAAGGAGGATCCTCTGATCATAAGGAATCTAGGACAGCAGATGGCCCCAGAATGGCAGGCCACCCTGCCAAAGATGAGCACTCGCACATGTCACTTCGCAAAGATATGTTCAATAATGTGCATGCTCACAGGGGAGAAAGAAAAATGCTTTTGCTTGTACCTCTGCATCCAGAGTAGCTGAAGCCACAATCAGTCGAAGATCTCCCCGCTTCTTCTGAATCTATAAAAGAAAGCATTAGGAAGTAATGACAACATTATAAATGCTAACAGAGGGCCAGCGAGACAGCTCAGCAGACTAACTGCCTGTTCAGGCAAGCGCAGTGACCAGTGTTCATTCCCGGCAGCCCAGGCCACATCAGCCCTGCCCCCAGGGGTGCTGAGCCGGCCACTGAGACCGGGCACAGTGGCACATGCCTGTAATCCCAGCACTGGGGAGGTTGAAAACAGGAGGATCATTATGAGTCCACGCTGCATAGTGGGACCCTGTACCAAATAAATGAATAAAAGATTTTTTTTTTAATATTTATTTTTATTTATTACATTTATTGTGTGTGTGTGTGGCCAGCTCAGCCCACCAGGGGGCGGGGCTGGCTGGCATGTGGTGCTGGGGATCGAACCGTGGTCCCTGTGCTTTGCCAAGCTTGTTTCAAGTAGGTGCTTTAGACCACTGAGCCATCTCTCCAGCCCCAGAATAAAAGATTTTTTAAAAACCACATAATCCATTCACCTAGGTAATCCTCTTCTAGGTATCTTCCCAAGAATTAGTCATCACATTACAATGATACATCCATTCCTATGCTTATAGTACCATAATTTATAATAGCTAAATCTTGGAAGTAGCCTGTATATCCTATATCATCATTTAATAGATAAATGGATAAAGAAAATGTGATATTTACACACAATGCAGTCCTTCTCTACCATGAAGAAGGATAAATTTGAGTCATTTATAGGAAAATGGATGCACCTTGAGACCGTAACGTTAACTGAAATAAGTCACAAGGTTAAATACGACATAGTTTGTCTTATATGAAAACCTCAAAATGTAAATAAACAACAAAATAAAAGCTAATAGGAAGTAAGGAGATACAGATTTTGCAGATGGGAATGGGCTTAAGAGTTGAAAGGAGAGGGGAGAAAAAGGGGGAAGGAGTAGAGATGAAAAAGAAAGTAATACACATGTACCAAACTCCCCACAAGGAATGTAATCATTGCATACTTCAAACAACAAAATAAACTAATACCAAAAAGTCAAAATACTTTCTACAAGTAATCTTTTTATAAAATTTAGTGTGATCCATACACATAATGACAGAAATATTTTTAAAGTAGTAAATTAAAACCAAGGATAAAATAAAGCACTCTTATATACAGAGAAAAAAGTACATGAAAAGCAAATAAATAGAAATACAGACATTAACAGTTTTTTTAAAGAAAGTGATGATCAACAGGAGAAATCATCAAATAAACTTCAGCAAAATCTACATTAACAATTAGGATTTATTCTTCACCAATCACATCCCAAGGATTTATTTTCCAAGGCTAATACTCAGTAGAGTCAAAGATGTGAAATAGGGCCTTACGTTATACTGTTATAACCTGGTAAGAAAATTTCTCATAAGCATCAAAATGTCTCATCTTTGGCCACGTAACACAGTAATAATGCAAGTTACAATAATATAGCATCTAACATATTCCAAGTTGTCCTACTCCAGAGCCCTGCATACAATCATGCACTGAACTAAGATGTCTGGGTCAGAAGGCCAGGAGTATCTGAAACGCAGCCCACATCCCTGACTTAGCTACAGATATCTTTTCCAACGTGGGTGGCTTTTTCTTATTTGCACAAATATATCTCATAGTCTAGCTGTGATGTCATCCTAAAAGTTGTATTATCTAAGTCCCGTAACAAACTATGACACAGAGCAGCTCTGTCCAACAGAAATCACCTCCAGGGTAAAGAGGTTCCTTATCCACACTGCAATAACCACTCACCACACATGGGTACATAGATCTTAAAATCCAGTGTGATTATGGAAGTGAATTTTTAAATTTTGATTCTATTTTAGTTAATTAAACCTAAACAGCCACAGATGGACAGTGGCTAAAACACAGCAAAATGTACCAGCACAGTAATAGACACATTTTTAAAAGAGAATATAAAAAAAAAAAATTTAAAGCATTAAAAATGATACAAAATTTCAAAACAAGATGAAAGGAATTCAACAATGGTTGTTATATTGCATACTATTATCTTCAAAGTAGTTGTGCAGATTACCAGATATGACCATGCAAAATTGGTCAAAAACTAAGCATTAACTATTCCTTTCAATAAACCAATAGACCTTTCAATAAACCAATTAGTAGCACAATTATCTGAGCTATCTTATGTGTATATACATATTTGTCTTTTTTCTCTTCTTTTTCTCCTTTTCCTCATCCCCTTGTTTTTCTTCCTTTTGAGCAGTTTCTTTCCCTCTCACAGTATCTATTGCACCTTCTGGATTTTATTTACTCTTTCAGTTTCTTACTCTAGGGAGACAATATGATGTTTGCACATGCAGGTCTGATTCATTTCACTTATGACTATGGTCTCTAGTTACATCCATTTACCTATAAAAGGCTCAAGTTTATCTTTCTTTATATCTCAGTAATACTTCAGTAGAAAGAGAATTTATATCCAGGCAATATGGTCCAGGACCTGTGATCTTAATACGTTTATCTACTACTTCTTTCTAGCCTCTTGTCATTGGGAATTTGTCCAAAGACGATAATCAGGAATAGAGACAGGGAGTGTAGAGGTAAGGACGAAGCAAAATTAGCCATTAACTGCAATTGTGGCAGCCAGATAATGGGCACAGAGTTCATTATAACCCTCTTTCCACTCTAATATATGTTTGAAACCTTAAGGAAAATTTAAAAACAAAAAAACAACAACAACATAATTATACGATGCTCACTACAAAAGTACTTGAAATATATAAAATCTAACAGAAGTTACATTTCTTGTTATATAGGTCTTGCTTTATCTTGGTCTTAACCATCCAGCAGAAAAGTATAAAAGTGAGGTATAAAAAGCCATATTAATATGCTGAGCTGTAAGAGGCTCAAGTCAACAACTGCTGACATTGCCAGGCCTACAGATAACCTACAACTATTATGGACTACTGGACTATATTGGATTATTTTGCTGAATTCATGCACCTACAATATTTAAATGGCAATGGCATACCATCTCTGACAAAACTAAACAAAAAAAGGGCATATAAATGAAGAACCATTTTGTATCTGTATATACAAAATAGTTACGATAGATATACAGCTACTTTGTCTTAATTCAGTGAGAAGAAAGATTTGTACTAACAGTGTTTGGACAGGATATCATGTCTGCATCTTGTACTATGAATAACCACTAAGAAGACAACAATATGCAATGTACTAATTATTGAAACTGTCCTACTAACCTGTTTTGAAACTGTCTCATTGCTATTTGTTTCTCAACAAAATTAATAAAAAATAAAAAAATATATAAAATCTAAAAATCCAGGTAAATGCCTAATAGGAAAAAAACTAAATATGATAGAAACAAGTGATTATGTAGCTATTAAAAATAATGTCTTCAGCCAGACATGGTGGCACACACCTGTAACCCCAGCACTCAAGAGGCTGAGGCAGAAAGACTGCCACAAGTTTGAGGCCAGCTTGAGCTAAATAGTGAGTCCAGGCCAGCTTCAACTTTACAGCAAGCCCATCTCTAAAAAATATATAATTTTTTTAAAACCCTACCTCCAAGCACTTAAGAATATTATCAAAGAATATTTAATGACAGAGAAATGATCTTTATATGTTAAAAGAAATGTACAGGCCAAAGAGGAAAGTGATTGATGACGTAGAGTGTGCCTAAGGAGAGTCACATGGGGAGAAGACACTCTCTCAGGCTTTCACAGAGAGCACATTGGCCAAGCAATGGCCGTGACTCATCCACATGGCTGCACTGATGAAGGTTCTACAATCTGAGGTACAGGATCTCAGGACAAATCCTGAGGGCATTTCACTGACCTTCTCAGACCAAAAAGCTACAACTCTTGTTGCATAGGTCCTGCTCTACCTTGGTCTTAACCATCCAGTAGAAAAGCATGAAGACAAAATATAGGAAATAAAGCCATCTGTTATGTTGAGCTGTGGGGGACTCAGGTCAATAATTTCTGACATTGCCAGCTAAACAGAAGACCCAATGCTATTATGGGCTACTGGACTCTTTTAGAATATTTTGCTAAGTTTACACACCTATAATATTCAATAACGGAACTTAGAAAAAATGGGGTATACTGATGAATGTCCATTTTGTATCTGTGTATTCAAAGTGGTTAGGATAGATATATAGTTGCATTCTCTTAAGGAATAGAATGATTTGTTCTAATGGTGTTTGTAAATAGGATCACAAGTCCGCATCTTATACAGCAATTAACCACTAAGAAGAATATATGCAGTGTATTATTTGTTGAAACTGTACTTCCGATTTGATTTGAAACTGTCTCATTGCTATCTGTTTATCAATAAAACTTTGGAAAAAAAAAAAGAAATGTACAAAATGCAAATTAGCAAAAACACTATTTCCCACTGCACAAAAATGGATTTTTTTACAAACAGAAAAGAACACATCAATATTTAAGAATAATTTTATTTCTAGGTGGGTAAGATGATGGATGATTTTTTTTTCCTTAGTATTTTGTTGGACTTTCCAAATTGCTAGTTACATGGAGCTGGGGAGATGACTCAGTGGAATAAGCACTTCCCTGGCAAGCGCAAGGACCTGAGTTCAATCCCAGGTTCCAGAAAAAAAAAAAAAAAAAAAAAAAAAATGGTTGACCAAATTGCTTGTTACTTCCCTGATCAGACAAAACAAAGACACAAAAAACAAAATTTTGGCCAGGCATGGTGATTGCAAACCTGTAATCCCAGCACTCAGGAAACAGAAACAGAAGGATCATCATGAGTTCAAAGTCAACCTGGGCTATAAAGAATTCAAGTCCTGCTCAAACAACATAGTGAGATCCTGTCTTAAAAAACAAACACACACACACACACACACAAAAAAAAAAAAAACGCAAAATAACTCTGGCAATGGATCATACCTTCTTTAGCAAGCCAATAGCAATGTCAGTATACAAGGTCCTCTCGTGGGCTTCATCCAACATGATGGCACTAAGAACAAGAGGGACGCTCCTGTGAGCACCAAAACAACAACCCCACATAATCCCATCCACCAGAGGCACTTCTAAGTACTGAACTCTCATACAATACCTCAAATCAAAAGGAAAATTAGTTGCTCTTCTTTAATACTGAGGTATAATTCTTACGCTAATAAAAATGGTGACATCAATCTTGGTTTAAAAAATGGTGATTTAGGGCTGGCCAGATAGCTCAGAAGATTAAAGCACCTGCTTAGGCAGGCAGAGGGACCAGGGTTCAATACCCTGAGTGCCATGCCGGCCCTGTCCCCAGGGAATGCTGAGACAGTGATTGAAACCATGCCTGGTGGCCCATGCCTGTAATCCCAGAGCTTAGGAGGCTGAAAATAGGACGATCACTACGAGTCTGATCTGTGTAGTGAGACCCTGTAGACCCTGTACTAAATACATTTTTTAAAAAATGTGATTTAGGAATGGCAAGATAGCTCAGCAGACTAAGCACCTGCTTAGGAAAGGAAAGGGACCAGGGTTCAGTCCCCAGCACCACATGCCACACTCGTGTCAGCATATCCCTAGGTGTGCTGAGCCGGGCCACCGAGACAGAGCATGGTGGCACACATCTGTAATCTCAGAGCTGGGGAGGCTAAAAACAGGAGGATCACTACTAGTCCAAGCTGTGTAGTAAGACCCTGTAACAAATACATTTAAAAATAATAAAAAATTTAAAATGGAGATTTCTTGCTATCTTTAAAGAGCTTCACCAACCACACTGGATTCTAATAGGATTTAATAGTTGCTTTTCAACAGCAATATAATCTATAACCCTATAGACTACATAACAAAGCCAAACTATCTTAAGATTGGTAAGGTATAGAAACAGCCAAAGAGTCAGGCTCGTCACAGGCATGCATAAGGGAGTCAAATGTGCCATCCTTTTCCAGAATACTACAGACCAGGGGCAACTTCTATGTTGTGTATGGTCAACAAAGACACACTGAGGCAGAAAGTAAGAAATATTTATTTGGACTTTGTGCACTGCATTCAACAAAACACTGCCCAGCTAGTTCTCTGCTACGCTGTGTGACTCTGCACTCACTATCCCGTGATGGAACACAGACAAGATAAACAGGCCAAGTGTATTTTCATTTATTCATGCTTGTCTCCTTATGTTTCCATTGTTTGTGGTCTGCAGGAGCCAAGCTATCTAAACTCAAAAAACATCAAGGGTTGAAAAAGTCATGGTCAAGAGAAAAGTTCTGGGCCAGCTGAGCAGAGATATGAGTCTCAGTTAGTAATAAAACTGCCTCTCAATCTATCTGTGGACTTTGGAAACCGCAGGAAAATTATCATAGGAAAAACACACTTACCTGTATTTTGTTAACAATGGATCAATCATCATTTCCCTGACTAGCATTCCATCAGTAAGAAACTAAAAATAAAATATGAATTTTTAGAAATAATTCATTTACATTGTACCACAATTAATTTTTTTTTAATTTCAAGGGGAACACTTTGTAAAGTTGAAGTCCAACCTCTTTACCAACACATGTACAAAACAATTCCAAGAAAAGACTGAGGAAATGGCCCAGTATTTTTGTTACCAAGTAGTGAAATTCTTCACACACACATACACACACACACACACACACACACACACACAATTTCAAACATGGGATACTCAGTGGGGTTGAAAAATCTTTTAGCAGGACTTCATCAACATTTATTTTATGAACATTAACTAATTCCCATTTCCTCTGGGCTGAACATCTGGTATTACTGATGAATAGACAATGAAGATAAGCATGTGCCTACCCCAGCAAATATATGAGATTATCATTTTTTTAATGACCACTCTTTTTTTTAAAAGAGAATACAAAATAGCAATAAAAAAATTAGAAATGATACAGAATTTCACTAAACAAAGTAATATGAATTTGACAGTATTTGCCATATTGGTAGTGTTATCTTCAACTTAGTTGTTTAAATTACCAGATTATCATTCTTTAACATCCCAAAGACTAAAACTACAGCTCTTGAAGTTAAGCTCCACTTGCACTAGTTATTTTATGGAACTTGACAAGGTCAAGGCTAAGAACATGGGCTGTGAAGTCAGACTGCTGACTCCTTCAACCTCCTAGGTCTGTAACTTTTTCATAATGTAAACCAAGGCGAAATCTTACTTGTAAATTCCCTTCTAAGTTAACACTCAGGGGTTCTATGCAAGATTTCTGTGTTTCCCAGCAGACTAACATCCCTAAGGGACAGCATGATTTCCCAAACTTCCAACCATGGCCTTGGTCTATCTCTTACTTGCTGTATGAAAATTAGACAAACTCTTATCTTCTCTGAGGCTGACTCCTCACCTGTAAGGTAAGGTAATACAAGAAGCTACTTCACAGGGCTATCACAAGAACTGAACGAGACAGTATACATAAAGTGCTTAACACAGGACCTAGCACACAAGAGAGTGGTCAAGAAATGTCAGTTACCATTTAGGATTAAGGAATGTTTATTAAATGTTTCTGAAATATTCAGTAATGACTGGATGTTCTTCCTATCACCCCAAAATAAATTCAGTATATTAACAAGGATAACCACTCTTAGTATGCTGTATCTTAGTATTTTTACTTTTCTTGTTTTAAAGGCAAGATGCATTTCTACCAGTTTGTTTAGGCCTGCTGCCAGCTGTCATACACATGCACAGAAATCAACATGAGAACTTGCTACCAGTTACAAACCAGTCAAGAATTGAAAGCCTTGAAGTTATAACCAATTAGAACACAAAACCTTCTCAGGAAGGAATCAAAAAAGAATCATCTGGTTACATAATAGACTGACAACTAGCTTATTAAATATATTTGATGTGGACAGTTTAGTCTCTTTAACTGGCAAAATGCATGTCAAAAGTAACAAGACACAAATATTTACCAAACTCCATTCTTTTCCACTACATTATTCATTTTGCTGGTTTATCTTCAATTTTCCTATTGCAAACTGAAAATTGAGATTCTAATGACCAATCTTTCATCTCTTCAGAGCACTCCATTTATTGTTTTACTGCACTACCTGATTAGACTTTGATTCCAGTATTGGTGTAAATAATAAGTGCCCTGTTGAGATGATGATACACTGATTACCACTGACACTATTTTAATATTAGCAATTAGGTCAAATAACACAGATAAAATCCACTGTCAGGTAAAAATAAAGCTGTAAGTAGTGAAAACATCATTTATGAATTCTACATTGGATCAACTGTATCAATTGATCCCACTTTGTCCCTGTTCTTAAGTCTTTTATAGGCTGATTTCTATATTTAGACAACTATATGAGTCAGTAGAAAAAATAAAACACTCCGAAGAAGGACAACTTTGAAACAGGTACTATTACCAATGGGTAAATAACAGTAAGCAAGGCCAATGCTTCAACCTCCCAAATATAAACCTCTTCAAATATAAACCAAGGATAAAATCTTACTTTCAAGTTCAGATACTCTTCATCCATATTCACACTAGCAAAAGCAGCTTGCACACCTCACCTTAATCCTCGTAGCCAGTGGGTCGGTGCAGTCATCGAAGCGGATGCAGTAGCCCACCTCATGGCCCAGTACCGCACCCCTTTCCTCAGCTACTCTCCCTGCAACCTTTGGGAAAAAAGATCATGCTGAAAATGAGACATGGAAAGCACTGCACAGAGCGGTACTACAGAAAATCTGAAGGTCACTGGTCAAGAAGTACGTGAACACTGGAAAATGAGAAGGAACAAAATGCATATCAAAAGTCACTATGGAACAAATATGAAAAGTTCTACAATGTACTAACTGATATAGTGATGTACCTCATTTTATTCTACCACACTCTTGCACTACATACAGGAATACAAAATTTTTTTTAAAAAATCACAAAAAGATGTTATAAATCACGTTCAAAAAGTAAGCCTGGGATGTGTAGCTCAGTGATAGAGTGCTTCTTAGCATGTACAAGGCCATGGACCCATCCTCAACACCACAAAAAAATTAATTAACTCAAAAGACTTAAGGCAATGACAAAAACTATGAAACAGATATGCCAAAGTTATTTAAGATAAGCTAAGCCATAAATTCAGCTCTAAGTGTGGTGACAGCACAAAAGAAACAACAAGATTCATTCTGCTCCTAAAAAAAGAACTTACCAAACAGGGAAAACTATTCCTATCTCCATGGTTTAAAATAAAGCACCTTCCACTGGATTATGAAAGCATAATAGGAATGATCAAACTCAATACTGAGCCAAATTCCTTTTGTCTTTGGAGGCAAAAGTATACTACTCAAGAGTCAGATACTTAAAACAATGCTCAAAAGTGTCCCAGGGACCAAAATCCTTGAAAGGGAAAATGAAGACAAGAAAGCAGATGGAGGGGTGCAGGGGTCAGACAAGTGCACGCGAAGATTAATAAGGAATTCAAGTTGATACAGTAAAGGACAAAATAATATGTATGTGAATATATAGATATATATATTACAAAATAATACATGAGGATTATAAACTATAGAAGTTCACCTGCCAATATATGATAAATAAAATGTGAGTATAGGAAATGCCAAAAGAAAAAATATTCAATAATGGGTGCAGTAAGGGGATATAGCTGTGGTAGACTATTTGCCCAAGTTGCATGAGGCCCTAGGTTCAATCCCCAGCACTGGGGGGAAAAAAAAATTCTACCTATAGGTAAGATCCCTGACCTACTCCAAGAATGTATTTAAATAACAAACATAAGCCAGATGCAGTGTCTCATGCCTCCAGCTACTCTGGAGGCTGAAGTTATTAGACTATGAATCTGAGGCCAGCCTGGGCAACTGAGAAAGACCTTGTCCCAAAACTAAATATATAAACAAACTTAAAAGTAGAAGAGCAGTAAAGTTCAATCACTTAGCTTAATTTAAAAGAAAATAAAGTCTCACACTCACTATATAAATTATCTGGGGGCTGGTGAGATGGCTCAGTGGTCTAAAGCACCTACTTAGAACAAGCTAAACTAAACAAACCACAGGGACTGTGGTTCAATCCCCCAGCACCACATGCCAGCCCCGCCCCCTGGTGGGCTGAGCTGGCCACACACACAC